ACAATAACTATAATGCTTTTTTTAAATTTTGTTATTACTTAAAATGACCACAAAAAGTAAAAAGCTCCAGCTTTCTAACTTTCTTATCTGAGTAAACAATTAAAGATCGATCAATTAAAACCACCATCATTTAAAAAAAAATTCTAGTCGTTTAGTCCAAGTTTTAAAAGAGATACTGCGTTTTGAAGAATGTCCACTCAATTTTGTGTGGTACTGTATGTGTTGATAGTCAATTTACCATTTTAGTCATTGAATCTGATATTAAAATTTATATTTCATTGCACAATCGAAAATGTATTTTTTAAATGAGTAACTAGGTATACATCATGTTCCGCGTTGAAAGCCGCAAAGAATCAGGAAATTCCTTTTCCTGTTCGTCAAACAATACTAATCCATCCGTAGTATGTATGTACTCCGAAAAGCCGCTATTTTCTGCAGAATTTAACATTTTATTAAATTATGACCCACAGATGGTTACCAGAAGTCGAGCCACCATCTAGCCTTCATAGATTCCTTTTTTCGTATGTTTTGTCAAGTCGAAATGCTTTCCCGGGTTTATTGCCTGCAACGCTAGAACGAAAGATTGCGCACTCTGTTCACATTGTACCAGTTTCGTAGTTCCGCCTCGCTTTGTATCAACACTTAGCCGACCGATCGGGTAGATCTACCCATTTCCAAGCTAGTCGGTGGCCGACCGATCGGGTACATCTACCCATTTCCAAGCTAGTCGGTAGCCGACCGATCGGGTAGATCTACCATTTTGATCTGAGGAACGCTTCTTTCTCTATAGAGCTTCTTATTTCTGTAGAGTACAACATATAATAAAATGCACACCAGCAACACCACACCCATTAGAAATCGAAATGCTACCTACATCCCACTCTCACGACTTTTTCGAATATATAAGACTCCACTCAACTTGCAAATATTAGTGTAGAAGCCAAGCTCTTTGCTGTGACTCTCAACAAGTGGTGTGAAACGAAGTATAGAAAAAATATCCCTAAAAATGTCCAGAAACATGAGTGACAATTCAAGTGATGAGTTGTTTATGGACACACTATCAGGCTGTTCTGAAGACATTGATCTACTGATAAGTGATTGTGAAGTTGACGACAATAATAGCACCATCGTTCCCATATATCAG